GAGGGCGTCAACAGGTACCGCCGCGCCCTGGGCGGGTAAGGGCGAAGGGCTCGGGGGTACGGCAGCGTGGCTGGCCGCGGCTGCGGGCCAAGGGCTGCGTTGGCAGCCGCATCCCGAGCACGCAGGTGAAGCACCCGAGGCCTCTGATGCTTCGCGCAAGGCCTGGCCGAGCTCCCTTTTGTCCCCTCAGCTCCTTTCGAGGTGCTGGTTGAGGGTCGAGGAAAAAATTCCCTGGGGCTATTTCTGCTTTGGTCAGTGCCTATTTTAAAACAAATAATAAACTACCATCTCCAGCACCCTATCCGTTAAGCCTCCCTATGCTGACTGGGTTTACAGGCTGCTGTAGTCCTTTTCTCTTTCTGGAGCTGTCTGCCTCTCTTCATGGCTTGCCAGGCTGAGGAGGGACCCGCGCATCGCTTGCTCCCCCGAGCACTGACAGTCCCCTCGTCCTGTGGTATTTTTAGCCTTGCTGACATGGAGAAGGTCCTTCCATTAGTGTCCTGCCTGTAGCAGGAGCTTCGTTTAGGTGCCTGTAAAGGGGTTAGTGGAGAGATGCTATCCTCGGTACATGAGCCAGGTGAAAAAGTGACCCTACTGGCCACTGCATGGTCTGTCCAGCCAACAGACGGGGCCGTCTCTTCCAGGATGACTAAAGCCCTGCTGGAGAAGGATGGCGTGAACTGGCGCCAGAAGCTCCCGCCAATCCCCACGGTCCCTGTTTCTGCCCAGACGAGGTGGAGCGTTCCTTCTGCCGGAGCCCCCGGGGCAAACACTCCTCCTGCAACTGCACCGAGGGGAGAACCAGGTGAGAGCGTGCCCTCGGGCCGGGCACAGAGCCCGGTGCTCAGAAGGGTGATGAACAAGGCAGCGGCCACACCTGCTTGGCATGTCTGCAGCTGGGGCTGAGGCAGAGAGAAACTTGGGCCTGGTTCTGCCGCAGCCTTTTTGGTTGCTTCTGGATCCTTTGATGTCTCTCTGTCTCGCCTCTGGTATGGGGATATTTGCTTTCTGAGAGGCTGCGCTGATCTTGTCGGTTTTATAGCATTCTGTATTCTTTCATGCTGTTTCCAGCCCAGACTGCTGCTGGCACGGAGAGAGCTCGAGCTCTTAAGGAAGAAGGAAATGAACTTGTAAAGAAAGGAAACCATAAAAAAGCAGTTGAGAAGTACAGTGAGAGTTTACAGCTCAACCAGGAATGTGCAACATACACCAACAGGTACTATTCGGCTCTTTGCCCAAGTACTTGTGGTCCTTTATAAAAGCTGCCATGGTACTTCTGACAGAGCCATCTAATGTTTGCTCCCAAACAAATGAATAAAACAAGAACACCCACACATTTGCCCCAAGTACCTTCTTCTCTGTAGTTTGTATAACGTTCTTTGATCAAGTACTGCAAAAACTCTTGCAAAAAGACACTCAGCTTAGGGCTGCTAAGAGTTTTCTCACTTTACCGCTTGTCTGCCAGGACGGTGGTATTTTGAGCAGTGTCTGCTGCCCCATGAACCACAAATTGCAGACTGCTGTACTTCACGACTCAAAGCACTTCTCAGGCACTGACAGCAAGCAGAGCATATTCTGGAGTGGTATAGCTAGGAACCTGCATCCTTGAAGTGCAGGTTTGTAGTTTTAGAGCAGGTTGCTCTAAAAATCCTCTTTTCTTTTTCCTAGCCTGAAAAACTGTTTTCTTTCTGCCCCCGCTTATAACTGAAACAAATTTGAGCTCAAGAAATAAGATTACTTACCATATGAGGATAAAGACTGTTTTTGGAGTCCAGCTGTGTGCTGCGCAGGGGTTGGCTGACATCTGCTCTGTACGTTGCAGCAGTAGATGGTGCTTTTAGCCAGAGGTCTCTAACCAGGTGTCTTTAATGCAGAGCGCTCTGTTACCTGGCTCTGAAGCAATACAAGGAGGCAGTACAGGACTGCACAGAAGCTCTGAGGTTAGATCCTAAAAACGTTAAGGCACTCTACAGACGGGCTCAAGCGCTTAAAGAACTGAAGGTAAGTCCAGAGTTTTTGAACAGTTTTAGGCTAGGACTAGAAGCCTGTTCACGCATAATCAGGGCAAGAGATGCCCTTTAGAACTCATTTCTGTGCTAGACAGCACCTGCCATCTGATAGCTGAGACCTGTGTGGACTGGGGGGATTTTCTTTCACATCACAATTTGCTGGTTGGATCTCATGAGTTTCTCAGCACTGAGTTGTGTTTCTGGAGATGCTGGAAGCACCTATGCGTCACATTGAGCTTTCCCTTTTTGGGTCTGGTGAGAGGTTCTCTAGGCAGTACTGGAAAATTTAATGCATTGGTGTTGGACTCAGAAACCACTGTGGTGAAGTGGTGAAATTGTCTTCTCAGCCCTAGTTTAAGCATGGTTTAGAACAGCTACACTGATGTCAGTGTTTAAGCAATTAGATAGAGGGAGTCATGGGCTTAGTTGCGTTGCGGGGTAGTAATTCTGCAGCAGGAGCCTTAGTCTGCGTTTTCAATGGACTAACACTTAAAAAAATATTCTCCTTCTAGGATTACAAATCCAGTATTGCTGATATCAAGAGCTTGTTGAAAACTGAACCAAAGAACACAGCTGCACTGAGATTACTGCAAGAACTGAACAGAGCCTAGGGTAACCAAGCAACGAGGAAAGCTTTGTTTTTCACTGCAGAAAAAAGCTTTTCCCTTCTGACGTTACAGGGACCAGTCGTAATGCAGGATCGGTATTGAAATGTATCTTCCGCTGCTGCTAAAATATAACAGGTTCTGTGCCAGCACAATGAATGTTAAGACACACGATCTGTATCAAACTCTATTACCTGGCTCTAAGATGATTCAAAGTTTTAATGCCCCTCCCTGAGAGGCACATAGGTTAACTTCCTTGATTGAATTCAACTTGCCTGTAGCTCTTGGCCTCAGGGACTCCTTCCATGTTGGCTAAGATGCATGTGAAGTGGCTATTCTGTTTCTGAAGAGCTACAAACAGAGTTAGTTTTTTGTTGGTTTTTTTTTTTTTTTTTTTTTTTAAGTCCTTATTCAGGTGACAGTTTTGCTGCATTTGTGCTGCTATTACTTAAGTAAGGTTGCTGCAGGAACTGCTCCATTGCCGTAGCACCACGTACCATTCTTGTGACAGAGGCACAGTTACTTGCACGGGGCTGGGCTTGTTCCCTCTCCCCCTTGACACCTGCTGGCCCTCAGCTGAGTTTCTGCTGCTTACTGTGGCTGGGAAGATGTTTGCAGAAGCAGCTTTCTTTTATTTTTAGTTATTCTGCACACTTAAGAAAACAGCAGCAAGTTAAGCCTGCCTTGTTACACTGTGCACTACTTTGAGACTCTGGGTGCTTGGGAATTTTACAATTGTTTGTGTTGGGGTTTTTTTTGTGTGTTGTTTTTTAAAAACCACTTTAGCTCCTCTGTGCCTTTTGGAGCAGTTGCTACAGGGTGTTACAGGGAGGAAGATATGCAGTAACATCCCAGCTGAGGTCTGGCTTACTACTTCAATGCATGTTTATACTTTTTGATCTTCTCCTTATCTGGTATTGATGGCACTGACTTAAAATGGTGGGTAAAGAGATGTTTGGAGTTACTCTATGAACTGCTAAAACCAGTTCACATTAAAGCCATGTTTATTTTCACTTTAGAGCTGTGTTTTTTCCGTGATGGAGGGTATAGGGGAACTGGAACACTTTAACCACTTCATTTCATACTGTCCCCCCTTTCTTGTCAGAGGACTTCCAAAGCAAGGCACTGTACCCATTGCTCAGCCTTGTGCACTGTGCATGGGCAGAGTGCTTTAGTAAGTGGGGATGCTGGACAACACTAGACTTGAGCTAACTTACAGCACAGGCCAGGAGACAGAAGATAGCCTGTAAGTCAGGGTTCAAACACCTTTGTTTCCCACCTTACTTCTCCCCGCAGTCAGTGTTTCAGGCAGGTACCCCACTGCACTGGATTTAGAAAGCAATCCCTCTAACGCCATTAAAGACAAAGATTTCTTACTTTAGCCTGATATTAAGTAGCTTTTTGTAGGTCCCAGGGCTGTACTCCATCAGCTGTAATGGGCCTGTACTTGAAGCAACTCATCCCTGAGGGGCACAAATTGCTCCGTTCACTCCACTCCCACTTCTGAGCGCCACAGCTCCATTGATCCTGCAAGCAGCACTTGCCTGAGCTCTTGGCGAGTAAGTATGATGGATTTCGGGGTGGGGAAGCACAGGCCAGCAGCACACGGATAAGCAGAGGAAGGTCACAGAACACAGGAGAAAGTCTGGCTTCACTTAGTTAAGAACTGTCCTTTTCAGAGCCCTGCTGTAATCTGGAGTGGCAGATACCTGCCCTGTTCAACCACAATTCATCACACCACCTCTAAGCAGCAGCATTCACCACCTCTTTCCCCACTCAGTAACAGCGATGTGGTTCTGTGCCTCATCTCTAAGACTTTCCCCAGCAGTACCAGGTAGAAAAAGATCAAGTACAGCAACAAGACACACTAACCCAAGCCCAGGGTCACTTCTGCTCCTGTCTCCCCTTCTGTCCCAGCTGTGGGTGCAGGACCCTTCCCGAGCACGCAAAGGGAGCGCTTGCCAGCGGCACACCCGCACGCACCGCTTTCACAGCGTCTATTCCCAACTGGGGACTCCAGATTCACGTTTGCGTTGCTGCTCCTGCCTCGATTCCCTAAAGCCTCAGACTTCCCCAAGGAGTTCAGGAGGGAACTACTCCCCAAGGGAGCTACTTTGAAAACTTTCCAGTGTCCTCCAGTATACATGCGGATCCAAGCTCCAACTTCACCTTTACTGATAAACAGGTTAAAGTCTTCATTCGTGCCCTTTCCTGGGCTTTGCTGATGTCCCTGTGTTCCCCCGCCCCACTCCGGATTCCCTGTAGCTTTACAGCTGTCTTCTCAAGCCAAGACGTCTGGCACTGTAGGTGGTGTCACAGGCATATCTGAACTTGCCCGTTACACCTGAAAAAAAGGTTGCAGACAAACTAGCCAACAGCTGAATGGAGTTTACCTTACCTTACAGTTCTGTTCCAGCTCCTTATATGAATTACACTCATGCGGATAAACATTTTTCCTCTAGAGACAAAGCATAAAAGCTTCCAGCCAGTTACATTTTGGGAGAAATATCAAGTGAAGGTCCTGTATATTAAGTGGATTAAAGTCCTTTATAAGCATCTCACTGAGGAGGAGATACCTAAATAGCGCACAGCTCAGGCTGAGGCACCTACTATGAGGAAAAGAAATACTTAAGGAGGTCGGGAGAAGAATTGGAGAAAAAAAAAAAAAAGGCAAGAACAAGGAATGATGAAAAGCCCCAGGGAAGAGTCGCAGCTGAGCAGAACAGACACCGTGCAGGAGCAAATGTGTAAGCAATTCTATTAAAATGTTGGAAGGAAAACAAGAGGTAGGAGGGATGACTCAGCAGTGAGCTGAAGCGAGAGTATGACACAGCACAGAAGGCAGAACGAGATGGCAACACCAGCACACGGGGTGGACAGGAAGAGGGTAGGTGGTGCTGGTGGCGGTGTGCTCCTGTCTGCTCAAGGAACCAGTCAAGTGAGGTCAATGCTTCAGTCTCAAGTACCAAGGAGCCTCTGGGGACTGAAATTCCTTTCCTAAATAGGAAGAGCAGAGCATTAAGGCCAGGGTGACGCAGCGACGTGCTGTGGGAGAGGCGCAGAGGGCAGAACATAGTAACGATGGGTCCCAGCCACTCCTGCAAGCAGGGAGCACCCCGGGGGGACACAATGCGGTTCGGAATGTTTTCAGGCCCATCAGTGACTCCTCGAAACCCCTGGTCAGGAACACACGTCAGAGAAGCAACTTTTGCTTTACAGCTACTCCGTAACACCTCAAAAGCTGGGTCTCGTGCACCGCAGCGCACACACACGCAGCATGGTGACCAGCAGAAGGCACTGGGTGGCAGTACTCCTGCAGGCATACAAGGTCCATTACAAGATGAGAACCACAGGAAGATGATGACTTTTAAAAGGAATTAAAAAATGGCTAGCTAGAAAGGATAAAATCCAGGTAGATGGTGTGCAATTTGCTTAAAACAACCCTCCTAGAAAGTCGGAAAGGGTCAGGAGAGCCTGTTGGCTGGGAATTTGTTCATTTAATCCTATATGTCCCTTGCTGTCAGCTCTCAGGACTGCTGCCCCACTAGCATCACAAACTTCAAACACTAATTACAGCAGCCTGACCTGGGTCCATCCCTCCGCCTGCATGAAACAGAGAAAAAAATATTTGCTTTCCTTCTGCAAAGGGAACTAGCCCATGCTTTGGGGGTGGAAGCATCAGTTCTTTATTAGTGTCAGCTACAGGAACAAATAAAACTACAGAACCCAATAAATTCACTAAAAGTGATGATTCATCAGCACTTGTCATTTCCTGGGCAACTGAACCAGGCTGGGTTCCACACTACATTTCAGAAGATGCTTTCAGTAGCAAGAAGAGAATTAACATGGGTGATTTTTTTTACAGGTGCAGGAAGAAGCGATTCTGCACGGTTTACAATACACACAAAAAAAAATTGGACGGGGCATTGAAGACAAGCCAGGGTCACTGTACGGGCACGATTCCAAAAGCACGGTGGGGTTGCTGCTGCTGTTCTCCAAAGGCAGCGTTCGCAGGGCTCGCTCGCAGTCCTGAAGTCTACAAAAAAACCCCAAAGAACCCACATATGCAATTTGCAACTGATAAAGGAACAATTTCATCCAGACAAGAATTCACCTGAACTTGGACTAACGCACAGTTTCCTTGCAATCACAAGTCAAGAAAATCTTATCTTCAAAGGGGTACATGAGGGTCTGAACTGCTTGTTAATAGGCCTGTCCTACCCTCAGCAGCAGAGCCAGCTCTCCTGATGAAGCCCACACAGGACCACCAATATTTTACAGGGTATCTACTGACACAGTTCTGAAAAAAAAAAACATTGGGACATCCCAGGAAAGATTGTGCCAGTCCCCACTAGAAATACAGAAAAGCAAGGTCCCGTCCTATCTTCCTTTCTGGTTGCACAGTCATTGCCCTCATGAACATAGGAAAAACCATGCAGAGCCACGTCTCTGCAGTACAATTAAGTCCGGAAAATGAAGGATACAATTTAAGAAGTCGAATATTACAGTCACAGATACTTACATTGCTTATCAAGCCATACTTGGTCTGGACAAGAACCCCAAGCTCCAGTTTCACAGTCAGAAAACAAAGACCCTGAGGACACCACGCACACACCGACACTTGCGACAGCTCCTCGCACCTACCCGGAATCACGGCAGGGATGTACGAGACCTGTTTTTTTTTCCTGGTGTGCCTGGAGAACAGCAACCGCTTCCTCGATCTTACGACAGAGAACACAAGGCGGGGAGAAGTTGAGTGGCTCCAATGTAGGAGCGCACTGCACAAGGAGCGCAGTATTCCCGCTCCCAATCTGGTCTCTGCGCAGACCCACCTCCAAGAGGTAAAGGACTTGAATTTTATAATAATTATTATTAAAGTCTGCTGCTTCTGCAGGAGACTGATCAGCCTAAAGACCCCTTCTGTCTCTTCCCTAGGGAAACGCTGGGGCATCTCTCCTTTTCTACAGGAGTCAGAACTTGTCAGAGAGAAACCAGACTTCTCCGCAGGTGAAGCTGCCTGACGCCACCCAGCAGAGCCCCGGCTTCTTCAAAAAAACATCAGGGAAAGGGTGAAGGTGAATCCCGACTCCAAGGAGCAACAAGGAGAGGCAGTGAATTCACTGCAACTGTTTTGATGGGAACCAAAGCTGAATATTCACCAGGATTAAGGAGGAAGCTGAAGAAATGCTGTGGAGAGGCAGCGTTTATCTGGTTTCTATTCTCAGGAAAGGGCACCTCCCTATCTCCTTCCAGGGAGCGACACCCACCCCGCTTCTCCCCTCTCACTTCCCAGCCACCGCCAAACCACCCTCGGAGCTCGACCCGTGTTTTCAGGGAGCTGCTCTGAGCTGCTCCTTTTGCTGCAGGCGTTCAGGCACTGGGTGCGGTGCCATCAACCCGGGGCCCTTTCTGCACATTTTTAAAAAAAAACAAAAAAAAAAGGAGCTACTTGCTCTCCCTGTGGCTACCAGTGTCCTTGGCCCGTCTTCTGGGCCACGGCCACCTTCCCTTGCAGCAGCAGGTCGTTAGCCCTTTGGGATGCGATTTGTTTGGGCACTGACTGCCTCCTACCTTGGAGCGCAGGGAGTCGGGGGACTCCAGGAGCAGCAGCAGCTCGGAGTTGTCTATCTCCAGCAGCATCCCAGTGATCTTGCCGGCCAGCGAGGGATGCATCGCATGGATCAGAGGGTAGAGGCGCTCACCTGCTCCAGACACCAGGGAGGACATCAGCGCTGTGCAAGCCCTCCCGTATTCTCGCTCCCAGTGCGAGCCCTCCTGCCCTCCCAGCTCCGTCCTTCCAACTGAGAAGGGACACAAGGGTGGGGATGGAGGTGGAAAAAGCACTGCTCACCAACAAACCCACTCCAGTATGTCACAGCAACAGTGTTTGCAGGCAAAATGCTCCCAGTCCCACACAACTGGGAGAATTAGCCCTACCTACAGGGCACGTTTACCAGGAAGGAAAGCCATACAAGGAAACCGCTGTGGAAGAGGAAAGCCACCTCTGACTGGCCAGGGACAATGCTCATTGCCCTCCTCCTGCCATGCCATCCTCCAGCATGGAAATTATTTCACTGCCAGATTCCCCACCCAGTTTAGCCAGCATGCCACAGCCCCGTGCACATGCCTCCCTCTTCCCTCCCCAAATTACTCTGCTCCCAGCCCTCTCTTGCTCAGAGCTGGTGCTGGCCCCTGCAGCCACCAAGCCATTCATCAGCACCCGAGAGCGGCAATGCAGGATGGCTCAGGGTTCAAGGGAATCCCAAATGCCCTGGCACAGCCCGGCAGCATGGGCAGGATGGAGCCACCTCTCCTGCAGAGCTTCGCCAGACGCCGTCTCACTGCCAGGCAGCTAATATAGACAGGGAGAGGTTCTGCTGCTTCCATACCCTTCCAACACAGCCTGCATTATTTCTTGTTAAAGTAGCGTAATATCACAGTAAGCCCACAGAGGTCTGCAGCTTTTCCTAGCAGCTAAGTTTTCCCCGGTGCGTGCAAGTCTGCGCGCCCTGGCGTGCGCCCACGGCCCCGCAGCTGGACCGGCTCCAGCAGAGCAACCGTGACACCCACCTATCATTTGCTTCTGCTCCTGAGGAGGGGCTGCTGCAAGCATGGATGCCGTCAGCGGCTCCTGCCCCTGGACATGCACAGCAGGTTCGCCCACCTGGAGGAAAATAACAAACAAAACCACAACAACAACAACAAAAAAAAACAACCACAAAACCACCACAAAACAGAGAAGAGTATCAATCTGAAATGCTGGAAACGATGCAGGAGCTACCTGGCTGGCAGGAACAGTGCTGGTCCCCAAACCCAGTGGGACATTTCACCCTTCTGAGCTGCTGACACAGACTCCGGCATTGCCTGGTTGTGTCCAAACACCGGCTTCCAGGAAAGCCAGAGACAGGCATCACAGCTGAGTGGCTGCTGGATCCATAGCTCCAGTTGCCCCAGCAGCCCCTGGGAAAGGTTCCCATTACACGAGTCATAAACAGAGCCATGGGGCTGCCCGGGGCCCACAGCCGCGCTAACCCACAGCGGGACCAGGACTGACGCGTGGTGCGGTGGCCGCATCAAAGCCCGCAGAGCAGTTACCTGTGAAGCTGCTACGGGTGACATGTGCCCCATCGGCTGGACGTTCCTGACGGCCGAGGAGTACTTGTACTGCGGGGCACCCCGCGGCAGCGTGGGCGAGGAGGGCACCCGAGCGCTGACCGTCTGCGTCCCGATGTTGGCTGCAATGGGGACAGGAACATTTTTAAGGAGGAGCCCATTAAACACATGCCTGCACTGGGGAGGCTGAAGACAGAGGGCGGCATGCTCAACTGGAAAATCCCCCCACGGCCTCAAAGCGGCCCCCAGGTCAAAGGCAGCTTCCCCGGGACAGGCAGGGCGCTGCCATCCTGCCCACTGGGCTGGGGTGGTCTGGTTTTGTGCAGAGGGCAGGAGAGCTGGCAGATGTACCTACGCCTTGTTGTCTCTCCTCCAGAAATGCCTGTCTGCATCAGCAGCGGAGGATGGGCACAGCACCGGGGAGGGTGGGCTGCAAGAGCAAGTGCCCCCCGTCCACCCTGCGTCCCCTCCTGCAGGGAGGGATGGACAGAGGGACCAGAGGGTGAGGGCAAACGTAGAGGGGACAAACCAGAGACAGCCCTCCTGGTCCCCTGCTCGTTTCAGGGATAAGAGACTCAACGCCAAGGACCATCTTGGGCTAAATTGCACAAAACCATGAGGGTTGTAAGTAGACACTGCCCCACCAGATAGTCCCACGTGTTGGGGGATCTCAGACCTTCACCTGCTCACAAGGTGGGCAACTTCCACCCTGGACTACCTTTGGCTCTCCTCTGCCCATCCATGGATGACCCTCAGAGGGGGCTACACTGCAAACCCTGGCAAGCATCTTCCCCTTCCTCACTCAGACAAAAGGTAGAGGGGTGATGGGACAGACACGGGGTTGATGCACTCTCAAGGTGAGGAATGCTCTGGCCACCACGTGCAGGACAGCAGTTCGGTCACCACCCCACCAGCCCTGCAGGAGCATGGCTGTGTTGTGCTGGCAAGGTGGAGGGGACACCCCGGGGATGCAGGGACAGCCCCAGCACAGCCAGGCACTGGGGATGCCAGCGAGGGCTGGTTCTTGTGCCATAGTTCCAAACACCTCTAACATGAGTGTGTTTTACTGGAGGCTTGGCCTTGGCAGTGATTCAGCCAGAGCCTGTAAGAACCTCTGCTTCTGCCCAAGAGGTCCTTTCCCAACCTCCACCTCGGCTGAGCACTAAGCCCAGGGTGTTGTGGCTGCATCATCATCATCTTTAATGAACGTATTCAAGGAACAGCAGCCAATTAGACCAATCTGCACATCAGAGACCTGTCCCATTACCTAAAGACCACAACCTTCCCCATAAGTTGCACACTTATTTACTACAGACACTGTTCCAGTCCCATCACATCTGAGGGCACCATCCGGACTCCTCCACAAGCAATCCCACAAACCGATCCACCTTTGGAGGTAGACCCAAGCTTGCAGCAAGCACCCTTGCCAATGCCCAGCCACTATGGTGATGTCTGAGCTGGTTCCTTCCCCCACTCACCCACTCTCTGAGCCTGGGAGGGCACACGGGGCACCTGGGTGGAAGCCTGTCTCATGGTGCTGATGTTGGACAGCAGGCGCCGGGGCGGCGCGGCAGCCCTCAGGATGGGGGTGGCTGCAGGATACGCTGCTGTAGAGATGCGGCACGATTAATAAAGCTTCTTGGTAGCAAAGGTGTGGAAGGAGATGTGGAGGATATTGACCACAGCTGGGGAAAGCTCAGGAGCACCTCACCTCTGGGGTCAACCCCAATGGCTCATCCCCCAGTGCCCATCACCGTGACCCCTGCACCAAACCCCCGCACGCTTCTCCGAGCAACAGCCCCCTGTGGTCACACGCTTCGTGCTGCTTTTAGAGACCCTCAGTCCCTAACCGAGCCCAGCTCGCACCGAGAGCCCCCGGGGAGAGGCAGGCTGACTCACGGGGAGGCCGGGAGGGCTGCGCACTCCAGCGAGTGGCAGGACGGACTGGGACAACTGGACTGGGGCTGTAGAAGGTAGCTCTGGTTTGTGGCTAGGAAAGGAGAACACGTTGTCCAGGGTGACTTGGGAGCTGAGCCAGATCTAACACAGAGCATCTCAGTGGCCGCCATGCACAGACAGACGAGCCAAAACCATGCTCTGCAGCGTGCCCGAGCACTTTAAAGATCGAACCCCAGTCCTGCTGCTCGCGTGTCCTCCAGCAGCTCCGCTAATCTCCTCCCCACCAGCTCTTGCGCCTCCGCAACCCTTCTCCCTCCCTTCCTTTCATCAGTGGACTCTTTTCTCCGTGTTCACAGCCTCCCACCAAACTCCTCCTTAGTTCCCTCCTCTGAGGAGCCAGTGGCTACTAAATCCCCAGCCCATTGCCTGGAGCACCCGCAGCCCACCAGCGTTTCGGCAAGCCCTGCCGTGTATGCAGCAGCCCGGCACAGACACCGGCGTGCGATCGGGGCCGCACAAACTAGAGATACAGGAGCTCCTCTGCCCGACTGCCACCCCCCTCCTCCAGCCCAGGGCAAATTGGGGTCCCGGTGCGAGGCTGCCATTCGAGAATGGGGACTCACCTGGGGGATGGGGGGTAGGAAGTAGCCCGGGGGGGGCTGGAAGGAGCCCAGGAGAGGGCCAGGCAGTGCCCTCATGGTGGCTAATCTCTGCATGTACTGGTTGGTGAGGATTGCTTTCCGCTCCTCTTTCCTTTGAGCGAGCGCGACGTAGAGAGGTTTGGTGCTGACGATCCGCCCGTTCATTTCCGTCACGGCCTTGGTAGCCTCTTCTGGGGAGGAAAAACATACAAACCCAAACCCTTTGCTGTGGCCACCCTCTGTCATCACCTAAAATTGGATTAGAACAAGACAGCTAAGTCCACAGATCGCTGCAGCACCCGCGAAGCGCAGCACGGCAGGGGGATGGGGGGGGGGGAGGGGGGATGGGTGGGACCCGCAGGCACCCCAATGCAGCCCCCACACCCAGGGTGGGACAGATGGAGCTGTGCCCGTGGGGCTCCACGGAGAGGTGTCTCCAGGGAAGTGGAGGATTTGCTCAGGCAAAACCAGTAGGTTTGGGAAATGAAGATGGCAGAGTCTGGGCAAGCCTAAGATCTGCAGCCTGTGGTCCCCCGGGGGGCTGTGCCCACGGGCCAGCAATGCTCCGGTGCTTAATGCCACAGGAGCCAGCAGGGGCTGGGGGTCAGTGGGACACTGTGCGCTGCCCGAGGGCCAGGCAGCATCTGTCCCCAGCAGCTGGCAGGTTACAGGTATCTGACCTTAAAGCCAGACCATCCCTCCGCACCCGCACGCACAGCCTTCAAGAGAAGCTTGGCACCCGCCCTGGGGGCAAGACCGACACTTTTAGTGGTTTTTTTTCCAAAAGGCAAACCACCAGCCTGTCAGCCAGGCAGACCCTGCTCTCCCCAGAGCGAGGTGGCTTTTGGGTCATTTCCATTTGTACCAGTGTCACATTGGTCCTGAAACACAGAGCGGCTGTGCAATATTCAGAATGATATGGCTTTAAGGTCCCGTGCCCTGTCCCTCACCAGAGCTGGGGTCACTCAGCAAAGCTACAAGATATTTGCTGAATCAATAAGCTCCTCAGGACAGCAGGGGGTACAAGTGGCATGTCCTTCAGACTTGGCTTGAGATACAAGCCATCAGCAGGGAACCGTAACTCATCAGGACGATAATCCCGATCCACTTCCCAGGGCTGAGCGCACCGGCCAGCCCACCCCAACAACAGCCCCGATCCCTCACCTTGGCACTGGTGATGGTGCCATAGGGAGAGAACTCCTTCCTCAGCCTCTCGTCGTCTATCCCGTCATCCAGGTTCTTCACATACAGGTTGACGCCCTGCAAACGGGCAGAAAAGCGACTTAGCCTCCTCCCAAAGGCACAGCGAACCCCCAGTGCTTACAGTGGTTTTTCAAGCTGGATGCATGTTTCGCCAGCAGCTCAGCCAGAGCACGTGGACCCAAATGCATCCGCTCCAGAGCTGCTGCGGGACCGGTGGTGTGGAGAGGAGCCAGGACCAGGCATGTGCTCTACTTGCAGGCGAGACATCCTGAGTGAAGAGAGCACCCAGACCACCGCTTGAAGCTGCTCCAAGACCTCAGGAAGCCGCCTCATTTCCAGACTAATATTTTAATTTCTGGAAAAGAGCAGACCCATTTGTTCACCTGCCAACACCATCCTGGGTTTAGACATCTCTCCTGTTTCCCGATACTGCTTCCCAGGACGTTACCAGGCAGTGACTGGAGCCCCGTGTCCGTCGTCTTTAATTGCAAAAGGGAGCACGCTGATCTGCTCTGGAGAGCCCTGTGCTGTCCCCAAGCCAAGGACATTCCTAAATGCCCACGGTGGACCCATAGGATGGAGCATCCCGCTCTGCCCTTACCTGGTACCTGCTCACTCGCTCCTGCTTGATCTGCTCAAATTTCCGCTTCAGCTCGCTCTGGCGCTCCAGCCGCTTCTGGGCTCGGCCCACGTACACCATCCGCCCGTTGATCTCCTTCCCGTTCATGTCGGCCACCGCCTGCCAGCAGAGGGGAGGGCTCTGAGTGCTGCGGGAAGCCAACGGCTCTACTCTTCACCCACCACCCCGGTCCATCCCTACAGTGAGCAGAGACCCCCTGGGCGAGGGCAGGGCAGCAGCTCTGCTCCCCTTTGCCAGGTCCTGCCCATCCAGCCACCCCCGCAAGCACAAGGCCGGTGAGGTTTCCCCCCCAAGGAGAGGTGGGAACAAGCATGGGGCTGAGACAGCAGCTGGGTAGCGAGGAGCCTCTTGCCTTCTGGGCTTCTTCGTGCTTCTCGAAGTTGACAAACCCAAAGCCCTTCGAGCGGCCAGTGTTGTCCATCATGACTTTGACGCTTAGCGTCTTTCCTGCAAGAGGAAAGGAAAGTATCCGTGGGAAGAAGGGTGCCCACCGAGGGGGTGCCGCCGGCACACAGCACCATGCTCAGGAGCCACCACGAGAAGCCGGTCCAGCAAGGAGACCAGACGGCCGTGGCAGCATGGAAGAGCCAACAGGAGGACAGACAACAGGATCCCCACCACAAGGCAGGAATGGGAGGCCGCACGTGTCAGCGAGTGCAATCCATCCCAACCTGGATGCTGTCCACATCGCCGTTGGCTCTGTGGTTTCTCCAGACAGTGCACTGAGTTTCTTTGGCCAGAGTTTCTCATCTACTTCATATATGAACACATATATTGTGTTTGTACAAAGGGTATTCACCAACTACTTGAGCTAACGCTGGGCAAGCATGAACAGTATGGTCCGTGGGTTGGCACAACACTAAATTCTGTGGCAAAAGGCATCCTCCAGTAACGGAGCAAACTGGAAAAGCCACTTGTGCTTTAAAAATCAGACTCGGCATCTCTTACTCCCAGGGCTCCTATAATGAGACAGCACACTGGTTTCAAACAATTAAAAAAACTAACAAAACTAAAAGTTCCGCTTTTGTTCCCTAAGAAAGTAAAAAACTTTTTTTTCCCTCCAGCATAGCACCTAATACAAGTTATCCTCCAACACTGCAGGAAAGTGCATGTAACGTCCTGACAATTTAAGCCACTGCAGCCCATTAGTGACGTGGTGTTCAAGCAAGCTGGATCCCATCAAGAGAAAGGGCTCGGTATTTCCGTCAATCGCTCTCCCCAGCTTTCTTTGCAGTTGCCCCAGCTCCAGTTTGTCAGACATGAGGATATTTTGGTTCAACAACTTTACTCACCAAACTTGGAGAATATTTCCCGCAGTCTGTCATCATCCATGTCATCCCCAAAGTTTTTGATGTAGACATTGGTGAACTCCATCGCCCGAGCCCCAAACTCGGCCTCACGCTCTTTGCGGGATTTGAAGTGGCCAACAAACCTTCAGGAAGCAAGAAAAGGGACATGAAACCCTCCACATCTTCTGCAGAGGGAAGATGGACACAGGCACATCTGTCTCGATCCAGGCCAAGAGAGATCCTGTCACCTGAGGCCGTGCTTTGCTCACCCATAAACCCACCATGGTGTTTCCCATCCGGGAACCCACTCGGGTTCCCCTACCCAGAGCCCACTTGGCACTGCTGAAACAGGGAGAGTGGTAACACAGGGGGCAACTGGGGGTGTCAACTCAGGAGACCCCAAAAGACCCCAAGGAATGCCACCGAGTGCCAGCTCTCTTCCACCAAGGTACCCCCAAGCCCCTTGGGCAGCCGCTTGCCTTTGCAGAGACAGAGATGTAGAGAATAAAGGTGATGCAATGTAAGCAGAGAGCTGAAGAACAACAAAACCTCTTCCTGCCCTGATTATCTGATGCTGATAGCTGAGACGGAGGACCAGCCCTGCTCTGGGGGCACTCCTTACACCGCCTCAGCAACAAAACACAGCCCGGGGTTGGACTCCTTCCCCAGCGTTGGGAACGGCTCCAAACCATTATCACACTTCCACCAGCATCGACCACGAGTGACTCACTGGCCTGGAGAGCAGCGGGAAGAGAGGAGAGAGAGCAGCCGGAGGCGGCAGCCCCAGCAGGACAGGCGCTCCCTCCCGAGCGAGCGAGGAGCAGAGCCAAGCGCAGCGCGGAGGAGACACTCTCCTCTCCGGCACTTACACCTTCCGGTCGTTGAGCAGCATCCCATTCATGGTCTCGATGGCCCGAGTCGCCGCCTCGTGAGTCTCAAAGTGAACAAAGCCATAGCCGCGGGATCCATTTTCATCACAAACTACCTACATAGGCAGAGCAAGGAGGAGGGGGGGGGGAAACCCAAACCTAAACCCAGAGACACTGCTTTTCCCCACGCTTGCACATGAGTAAGTCACAGGAAACCCTCCCCCTCACTTTCCAGGGGCATTTGTCCTCCCCGACATCCCACTCCCGCAGCGGCTGAGCTGTGTTTGGGTGCTGGCAGCAGGTCAGGGAGCCGGGCGAGCCCAGGGACAGACACATCACATATGATGCCCAAGAACTCGTGGCTCACCAAGACCCGAGTGCCATCGCTCCACTGAGCTCAGAGAGGTCAACACACAACATCTCTGTGCAAGGGTTGGGAAGAAGGAGAGCAGGGAGAAAAGTCCCCATTCCCAGGGGAAACACAACAGAGCCCTTTGGCTTCAAAGCAAGTGGGAATTTAGAGAAAACTTTGTAGGAATTAACACAAGAAAGTGAATTTCAGGTGGCTGCAGCAGACTGCCAAGGACACGGGGCAGCTCTGCAGCAAGCCCTTTCCTGCAGGGCCCACGTACCTTGCACGACAGGATGTTTCCAAAGGCAGAGAAGGTGTCGTACAGGGCTTTGTTATCAATGGAGTCATCCAGGTTCTTGATGAAGACATTTCCAACCCCCGACTTCCTGAGCCCCGGGTCCCGCTGCGACCACATGATGCGGATGGGACGGCCTTTGATCACTTCGAAGTTCATGGTGTCCAGGGCTCGTTCAGCTGGCAAGGAAGGGAAAACAGGGGGAGAGAGGAGTATAACAGAGACAGATCCCCTTCACATCCTACAGCAGCTGAGACGGGCACAGGAATCAATGATACTGCTGGACAGGAGCTCGTTAACCTAAATGAGACAGGTAGCGCTGCCTCCCAGGGCAGCAGGGCCAGGCAGGGGCCGCTATTCTCCCCTCCCACCACAACAATCCTTCCTTTTTAATTATTCCCCCGCCCTGCCAACAGCACATCCAACTCCCACGGGATCATCCATTTCACTGCAAGCTCCAGTTTGGCAGGTGCCCAACTCATTTACCCAGTAAGGATTTTGGTCTCCAGGGTAACTAACCCAACACCTTCCCATTGCCGCTGCCTCGCTCCAGCATGAAATGCCTGTTGGGTACCGCACCATGCGGTGCTTTATCGCCGTGATGCCCACCAGGAGAGGGGCCTCGCTTACCCATGCTGCGAGCCAGTGGGCAGCTGGCTACTCTGGGGAAGGGCAGAAGAGGTTTTGGTGCCCTTCTCCATATGCACATGGAGGGTGGAGACTCTTACAAACCACCTTCCTCCCCCCTAGAAGCCCAAAGTTCAGCCAGAGCAGAGACAGGAGTGGGATGGGTCAACATCCGAGAGCAGATTGGGGTCAGTTACAAACAAAACCCAACAGGAGGAGCACATTGCTGAAGCCCCAACAGCTGATGCATCCACTCACACCCACTTTTCTATCACCTACCCTTTCTTCTCTTGCACTGCCCCAAGCCCTCGTTAGGAGACTGCGTTACAGGGAGCTTACCATCCGCAGGCTGCTGGAAGTTTATGTAGGCATAGCCCAGTGATCGGCGCGTAGCAACGTCCCGACAGACTCGGATGGACATGATGGGCCCAGCAGGCGAGAACTTCTCGTAGAGCATGGCTTCGGTCACATCTGGGTGGAGGTCTCCCACGTAGAGAGAGGCTAACGGATAGCCAGGGCCACTAGCGTTCATGGTCAACCACAAAGCTCAGCTGCGGAGGAAGACAGACCCGAGGCTGCAGGGCACAGATTTCGGCTCGCATGCAGCAACCACAGACCCACGCTGGGGCTGGCCCCACGGCAGCACTGCCAGCCATGCCCTTCCCACCAGCAGCGGTAGGACTATGCCCCAAGTTCCCACATTTTTCAGGGACATTTAAATGCAGGTGCAAAAGCTGAGCTGGGGTAATCTGCACAGGACAGAGTCCCTGCAAACCTGGGGAGCGGCCAGAGGGACACAACACACCGCACACACTGATTTGTTCCTTTCAACACTCAAAGCCCAACAGAAATAAAATGGAGTTTAATTCCTCAGAAGGTAAACAGGACTTTCCCACCAGAGAACTCCCTTTGAATTCCTCCTAGACGGCTCCCTCCCACCGGCTGCTGAGCCAGAGGGAACCCAAGGGCTGCGGGTTCGCTTTGATCCCACAGAGCTGTGCTGCCAGGGGAGCAGCTTCCCACCAGCAGCCCCGCACCGCTGCGGCCAGCGCTCCCAGCGACCGTCTCCATCTCTAATAAGGCAAACACTGTTTTTTGGCCAGCCCTTCCCAGAGCAACAAGCCTCAGCTTGCTGACGAGGCTCCCAAAGCAGGAAAAGCGATGCTCAGTCTCCCACTGTTTTCAGTTGGGTATAAAGTTGCGTGTGAAGATGTCAGTCGCTGCTGGAGACCTCTGAGGTACTGCTCAGAAAAAGAGAAATACGGCTTCTCCTCTAGAAGTTTATAAGCCCCTCGTTGGGGCTCTTACCTTAAAGCTCAGAAGACCTAAGACTCTTGTTAAGATACCCTATGGACGCCCAAACCAAATGCATACACATAGGAGAGGTGCGTTAAGCAACCCCTCGCTCCAGGGCAGGTCACCACCGAGGGCAGAACGTGGGAGAGCCGCGCATCGGCTCTGCGAGGCGGCCCTGCGACCCCCACAGCCAAGAGCACCGAAACGGCT